AAGATGGTAGAAGCCGTGTGGCGTTTAAAATCTCGCATGACCATGTTCATTTCAAAGGGTGCTTCAACCCAGCCTATTAAGTGGATATGGTTAGTCATACTTACCCATGCGTTTACATGTAATCCTTTATGTTTTTGGCAAAAATCAAGGCTGTCAATAATAGTCTGGCGGTAAGCATCGCGCGAGAAAACATCAATCCAGCCTACTACTGTACATGTCATGTAGTAAAGGCTGTTTGGGCAAGTTGTTTTGTACTTTCGGCTCATAGTTTGTGTGTTTCATGGCAAATCTATGGCGTTTTTTTTATAAATTAGTAACTCTTTGGCATTTATTTTATCTATTTTTCTTTAGCATCACTCGTTGCCGTTTGCGTCGCAGCCGCGCCAATAGTAGTACGAGATGAAATCTCGCACTACTATTGGCTGGTGCGAGACTGCGTCTCGTACCATTATTGGCGCGGCTGTGCCGCACTCTTTTCGGAAACGCTAAGCCTGAAAATTTTCTTTTTGGTTTAGAAAAATGGTACGAAGCTAAGCATTTCCTCGAAACTATCCAAGTTATGTAGTAAATGCTGGATGGGCAAGTTGTTTTGTATTTTCAGCTCATATTAAGTCTGTTTTCTTTAGCATCACTCGTTGCCGTTTGCAGCGCAGCCGCGCCAATATTAGTATGAGATGAAATTTCGCACTAGCGAATAGCACTTCACCTAGCTCATGCATAGACAATTAATTACGTTGTTATTGTTTTAGAGCCACAGCAAAATAAATAGTTCGACGCCTCCAGCGTCGTGAGATGCACGCCTCAATGTACCCCGAATTGCCATTCGGGGCTATTCAAGTTCGACGCCTCCAGCGTCGCAAACAATATACATTTGCTTGGGTTTCTCGCAATCCTGAAGGGATAGGGTGTTCAAAAATCCACAAGAATATGATACCATTTTTGCCCTCGATATATGTTTTAAAACTAATAGATTCAGGCAAAAAAAATACTGCCAATTATGAATACTTTTGCGGATCGAAAACAAAAAGATAGGGTGTTCAAAAATCCACAAGAATATGATACCATTTTTGCCCTCGATATATGTTTTAAAACTAATAGATTCAGGCAAAAAAAATACTGCCAATTATGAATACTTTTGCGGATCGAAAACAAAAAGAACAACATAATGGCAGCACAATGCAAAGGTACAAAAAAAGAAACAATAAGAGCCGAGAAAAGAAAAGCGAAGGCTAAAAGAAGAGCCGCTGAAAGGCGGAATTTGATTAATAAAAATAAGCGTTTAGTCCTAAAAGTTGAAACTCTGGAAGATGAGATAGCTCGACTTAATCAGTTGTTAGAAGGCAATCCGGTTGCAAACCATAAATACAATGACAATACTATTTTAACATGCGTCTTGGGCTGCATAATTAACAATATTAGCTATAGGGGAATGAGTAATTTAATGCAAAGCATTGATGAACTGAAAGGGAAAACCCAAAAACGGATAAGCCCAAGTACAATTCGTAATTGGTGTCATAGAATCGGATTGTATTTTATTATGAACGTTGATATAAAGGGAAAACATGCCATAATCATGGATGAAAGTATCACGATTGGTCAGCAAAAAATATTGTTAATTTTGGCAGTTCCCATTATAGAAAATCAAAGCCGTATAGCTCCATTAAATATGAAAGATGTTAAAGTCGTTCATGTTGCATGCGCCAAATCATGGAATGCTGCAAAAATCAGTAAGATTATTAAAGAAAAGGTATCGGATAAAGGCATAGAAATAGAGCATGGCATATCGGACAATTCAGGTATCTTAAAGAAGGCATTTGCGAATTGTAATATCCTATGGATTTCAGATTGCACACATGTTGTAGCTAATGCAGTGAAGAGTACATATAAGCATGATGAAGAATTTAACAATTTTATCAAACTAACAAACTTGACAAGAGCGAGATGGGCTTTATCTCAACACGTAGTGTATATACCACCGGCAATTAGAGGCAAAGCACGTTTTCATCAAATTTTAGATGTACATAGGTGGGCAGAAATGATATTGGCAAATTGGTCAGATTTGCCTCAAGCTGCTAGAGAAGAATTAGAATATGTGGCAAAAAATGTGGATCTAATACACAGTATGAAGCTAATAAAAATGATATCAGAGGAATTTGCACTCGTGTTTAAATGTTATGGAATAAATCACGAAACGGCAAAGGTATGGCAAGCTAAATATGATAACAACTGGAAACAGCAGTATGAAGCTCAATTAAATATACACCCAAAACTTGGAGTCTTCCTTGAAAAAATTAATGATTATGTCAAAGAAATAGTTGGTAAATTAGAGGACTATAGTGCCCCACTTATATGTTGCTCAGATGTAATTGAAAGCATGTTTGGAAAGTATAAACACAAAGGTTTGGCTAAAGAAATTACAGATGATATACTTACAATTGCTCTCTATACACAACAGCTCAGCGTAGCAGATATTTCAGCAGCTTTGAAACAAATTCATACCAAAACTTTGATAAAGTGGAAGGCAGAAAATACTACTAAATCCGTTAAGGTACAACGAAAAAATATGAACAAAAATAAGGCAGCTTGAATTAGAAAAATGGAGGGCAAAAATGGTATCATATTCTTGTGGATTTTTGAACACCCTATCCCTTCAGGATTGCGAAAATATAAAGTGAATGTATATTGTTACGCGACGCTGGAGGCGTCGAACGTAAATAGCCCCGAATGGCAATTCGGGGTAAGGTGAGGCGTACATTTCACGACGCTGGAGGCGTCGAACAATCCATTGGGGTGATTGTACGGTAAACACTTGGCGGCGTTCGCATCGCAATCGTGAATCGTTAATCAAATAATCGTACATCGAGAAGCGTGAGGGATAGTAACGGAAATAGCCATAAAAAATCGCTTGCTGAACTCTAAAAGTTGGGCAAATAACTTTTAGCGATTTTTTATGGCTATTGTAGTGGATAGCCCGACCCAAAAACTGCCCTACCCGGAAGCTTTAAGCCTATCGGAAAACCAAGGGGCAGTTTTTGGGGCACGCCATAAGGTTTTTTATCCTAGAAGCTTGGTATTGTCGCCAAAATACTCTTTGTAGGCGCGGCTGAAGGTGCCTTGGTTGGTGAAGCCAACTAGTTCGGCGATGACTGCCGGAGGGGCAGCTTTAAGCTCTAACAGTGATTTTGCCTTCTCCAATCTCATTTCTCTGATGAGTTGTGTGGGTGTTTTGCCGGTGAGGGCGATTACTTTGCGCTGACATTGGGTGCGCGTAAGTTGGAGGCGATTGCAGAGTATTTCGGTGGAGAAATCGGGATTGGAAAGGTTATTCTCTACTATTTGCAGCGTTTCTTTGAGAAAAGGTGCGGACGGCTCTATGCGGTTGGTGGTGAACCACAGTTGTTGTACGCGAGCGAAGTGTCCCTGCATGGCTTTTTTGATTTTTTGGAGGGAATCGAGCTGTATATCCATCTCATCGTCGATGACAGGGCGCGGAAACCAGGTGTGGGCGCCGGCGCGAATGGCATCGAGGCGACCTTCTTCGCCATGACGGGAGGTAAGCAATACGATGGGTATGTGGTTGGTGCGTTCGCCTTGGGCCAGCTGGCGGGATACGTCGATGCCGGTCATTCCATTGAGTTCGGCATCGCAGATGATGATATCCGGTATCTCTTCATTTGCGATACGGATGGCTTCGGGTCCGGTTTCGGTGGTTTCTATTTCATATTGCGCATTGAGAATGGATTTGAGGTAGATAGCTATCTGTCGGTTGGGCTCGACGATGAGGGCGAGCTGTTTGACGGTTTCTTCTTCTTTGTTGAGGTTGTTTTTGGCGTAATCTTGAAGTTCGTTGTTTGGTTTGGCGGGCGCCATTACATCTCCTGCTATTTGCTGAGGATTCGAGTTGATTTCAACCATATTGGTATTTCGGACGGCATGAGAATCTGAAATCAATCTTTCTTGCTCGATTTTGGCAAGCTCAAGGTCGAGGTGCATGGTTTCCAATCGCCTGTTGAAGGCGCTTTTGGCGGCAAAATGCGCTGCAATAAGTCCAAGAAAAGCGAGTACACCGAGCCCCATGAGCAGGTATGCTCTATCGCGCTGCAGGGTGACGACGTCTTTACGCATAGACAATTCGAGCGATTTGGCCGATTCTAAGGAGTCCAATTTGGTTTGGAGGGTGGATATTTTTTTATCGTTGCGGTCGGAAGAAAGGCTATCGGCGAGCGCAAGCGATTGTTTTTGGTAGTAGATGGCTTTTACGAGGTCGCCCTTTAGTTCAAATTGATGAGCAAGGCTATTGGAGAGGTCGAATCTATCTTTGGGGGTGGCTACATTTTTCAGTCCAAGTTCAGCATCTGAAAGTATGCGCAGCTTGCTTACTTCATCTTTGTTGGCGGTATATACTGCAAGAAATACATCGAGCGCACGGGCATTGACGGGTACATTTTCGCGTCGGAGAAACCAGCGCAAGTCTTCTGCTTCAAGTTGAGCTTTTTCTAAATCACCTGTTTTTTTGAGCGTAGTGATATAGTTGAGGCGTATGTTGATGGAATCTTGGATATGATGCGCTTGAGCCATGCCAGTAGTGGACATGAAACTCCAAAATAAGATGAGTACAATACTAAGTGAAGGCGGTTTTATCATAACTTGTTGTAAACTAACTGCAAATGTACATTTTTTTGTTTATGAAAAAAATTAGTTGCACATTTTTACTTTAAAAAAATAAATATTTAAAAAAAGATGGACAAGTATTAAAAATTGCAGTATCTTTGTGTCAGGTTTTTTGGGGTTATATTTTGACGGTGGTCGCGTTCTAAACGTGACTGCCGTCATTTTTTTTGTGCGTAGGCGTGGCATAAACCTATCTATCAAAAGCTTAGTGCATTATCTATGCCAAACAGTACTCATATAAAAATGGTTTAGATTTATTCTCTGCAAAAATGCAATTAGAGAGAAAAAATCTAAACCATTTTAAGCAATTGGTTATAAAACCAGGCTGATTATAGTAATTCTATGTAGAAAGCTAGGTCAGATTTGGCTGGGATGGGTCCATTGGCTTGATCGCCATATCCCAAAGCCGAAGGTACCACAATAACTGCCTTGGTGCCATGCGTCATGGTTCCAACAGCTTCGTCGAAGCCAGGAATCATTCTGCCAACGCCTACAGGGAAGTCGAGCGTAGCTCCACGCGAGAACGAATCATCGAATTTGGTGCCATCCAACAAAGTACCGATGTAGTTTACTTTAGCAGTTTCGCCGGTTTGCATAGCAGCCCCGGTGCCTTTAGTTAAGGTAATTACCTTTACACCACCTTTGGTCATTGTAGTACTTGCACCAAGCTTACCCGCTTTAGCATCAGCAAGTGTAGTAGCCATAGCTGCTTGAAGTGTAGGCAATTGGCTCGCCATTTCTTTCATTTTTGCTTCTTCGGCAGCTTTTTCTGCTGGAGATTCTGTATCAATCATCTTGACATCGTAACGTATTTCCTTTACTTTGCCGGTAAGGTGTGGAGGTACCAAGTGCGCCATACTAGAGTCGATAGGCTGGTAGATAGTGAGACTATCCCCTTCTCCTAAGAGAAATAAAGCATCTAACACGGGTTCAGCTTTTTGTCCAACCAAATCTGCAGAATCGGGCAAAATAACCGGACGAGCAGGTCTTCCACCTTCAGCGGTATTGAAAACCATAGAGTCACCTAAGAAAACTGCATATTGAAAAGTTACTTTCTGTCCATATGCGGCTTTTGGCGATCCGGTAGTAGTGTGCGCTACATAACGGAAACCGTTTTTGGTGGTAGCGCCTTTGCTGCCCATTTTATCACAAGCGAAGAAGGAAAGTAGAAGCACTGTGAAAGCAAGTGCTGAAAATAATTTTTGCATTGTTAAATAGTATTGATAAATAGATTGTATAATTTCAGAAGAAGTGGTTGATTTTAAGAGGTCAGTTGATCTTTATAAAGTGGCAATAGGTTTTTGAATGACTCAATAGTTGCTTTCAAACTGCCAAAAGAATGCGCACCGGAAGCATTTTTATGCCCGCCGCCATTGAAGTGCCTTTTACATATTTCTTGTACATTGATGTCGCCTTTCGATCGCATAGAGAGTTTCACTACATTGGGTTGGTTGTGTATAAGCGCAGCCAAGCGTACGGAGCGTATGGTGAGCAAATGATTTACAATACCTTCAGTATCACCTCTTGATATATTAAAATCCTCGTAATCTTTCTTTGAAAGCCAAATGAAGGCGGTGTTGTATTCCGGCAATATTTCCATGCGATTGTACAGGCAGTGCCCTAGCAGACGCAAGTTTTTTTCTTTGTTGCTGTTGAATATCATGTCCATCAATCCGGTATCATTCACGCCACGTTCTATGAGTTCGGCTACATCTTTGAAGAGCTTAGCACTTGTAGCATGTCGAAAACCGCCGGTATCGGTAATTATTCCGGTCAGAATACAATCGCCAACGGTTGGCGTAAGGCGCTGACCATCGCCAATGCCTTTGATGAAGTCCATCACCATTTCGCAGGTGCTGCTGGCTTCGGTGTTGGAGAACACAAAGTCGGCGATATCGTCGGGGAAGAGGTGATGATCTATGAGTAACCTTTTAGCAGGAAGGTTTTGGATGTACTCTGCCACCTTATCTATTCGGCTCATGGCATTGAAATCCAAGAAAACAAAGACATCTTTATTGGGAAGTATTTCCTTACACTTTTCGTCGTGCAAATCCCAAATAAGCACTTTATCGCTTTTGGGTAGAAAGGTAAACTCTTCCGGAAACTCAGAAGGAAAAATGACATGACAAGTATGTCCATGCTGCTCTAAGTAGTGCTGCATGGCTAAGCTGCTTCCTATTGCATCTCCATCAGGATTGCGGTGGGAAAATATAGCAGTATTGTGTGGTGTCGCAATCAGGTTGCGAAGTTCTTTCGAATATTCCATAAACGGCCGCAAAAGTACAAGCATTTTAACGAATAAAAGTGTAAAAGGATAATTATTTTATAGAATAATAAGCGCGAATGACATTCAAAAGCTGAAATTGCTGTACATTTGCGCAAATTTTAACTAATATCAATAAAAATGACAGGTAACAGAACGTTTACAATGATCAAGCCGGATGCTGTCCGTGGAAATCATATCGGAGGTATTTTGAAAATGATAGAAGCGGCGGGCTTCAGGATTGTAGCCATGAAATTGACCAAGATGAGCGCAGAACGCGCCGGTGAATTTTATGAAGTGCACAAAGAAAGAGGTTTTTATGGTGAGTTGTGCGAATTTATGTCTTCTGGTCCCATCGTTGCAGCAGTGCTTGAAAAAGAAAATGCAGTATTGGACTTCAGAACACTCATAGGCGCTACCAATCCTGCCAACGCAGAGCCTGGTACTATTCGCGCTAAATATGCTAAAAGCATGGGCGAAAATGCGGTTCATGGTTCAGATAGCGACGAAAATGCAGCTATCGAAGCAGCATTTCACTTCGGTGGCGTAGAGATGTACTAGTACATTGTACTCCGTCAGCGAAATACAACGCATACTTCATGCCGAGGCTTTATCCTTACAGCTACCACAACATATCATACAGCAATGCTCTATCGATTCTCGTAGCTTAACAGATAAAGGCTCGGCATTATTTTTTGCCCTCAAAGGCGAAAAAAGAGATGGTCATGCCTTTATAAAAGATGCTTACAACGCCGGTGTGCGCCATTTTGTGGTATCGCAAAGGATAAATACACAGGATTATCCGGATAGCAATATCCTCCTTGTCCACGATACTTTGGCAGCATTGCAAGCACTGTCCACCTTTCACCGCAACAAATTCAAACTTCCTGTCATCGGCATCGCAGGCAGCAATGGCAAGACCATCGTAAAGGAATGGCTCTTCCAGATGCTTCACAAAGACTTCAATATAGTGCGAAGTCCCAAAAGCTTCAACTCACAGATAGGCGTACCCCTTTCCGTGCTCCAACTTAACCATCAGCACCAATTGGCAATTTTCGAAGCCGGCATCTCTAAGCCGCATGAAATGACCAAACTCGAAGCCATCATACGCCCCAACATCGGCATTTTCACCTTTCTAGGCGCGGCTCACAACGAAGGCTTCGCTTCCATCGAACAGAAAATAGCAGAAAAAATGCTGTTTTTTGCGCATTGCGACACAATTTTATATTGCTGCGACCATACTACCGTCCACGAGGCAATTCACAATTGGCGCAATACCCTGCCCCATCGCAAAGCCATTGGGTGGTCTATTGCCGGACATCCAGACGCAGCCCTTCAGATAAACATCACACCCGACGCCAACGCCAAAGGCTGCCATGCAGATGCCACCTGGAAAGCGCCTACACCCCACGCACAAGACATGCACTTCAAGTTTATGCTGCCTTTTAGCGATGCTGCCTCCATTACCAACGCGCTGCACTGTGTATGTCAGCTTTTGCACATGGGCTACACCGGAATAGCCATCAAAAAAAGTCTCAAGCGCATCAGTACCGTAACGATGCGACTCGAACTAAAATCTGGCATCAACAATTGCATTGTCATCAACGATAGCTACAACAATGACCTCCATGCGCTTCGCCTAGCTATGGACTATGCCACCACCCAAGCCGGTAGCAACCGCACCAAAACCTTGCTCCTCTCCGATGTACTGCAAAGCGGTGAAACAGACCAGCAAATCTATAAAAAAATAGCACAATGGCTCACCGAAAGCCAATTCACACGCCTGATAGCCGTGGGCATCGCCATAAAACACATAGAGCAGTACCTCCCCAAAGGTTTCCAATATGCGTACTACCCTACTACCCACTTGTTATTGGAGCGATTCAACCAACTCGATTTCCACAACGAATGCATACTCATAAAAGGTGCCCGCGCCTTCCAGCTTGAGCGCATAGCCCAGCGCCTCCAACAAAAACTCCACAAAACCGTACTCGAAGTCAATCTATCCGCACTCACACACAACCTCAAAACCTATCTCCAATTGCTACGACCCGAAACCTCCCTGCTTGTCATGGTGAAAGCCTCCGCTTATGGCAGCGGCTCGGTGCAAGTAGCCAAGGTGCTCGAGCAAAATAATGTACAATACCTCGGTGTTGCCTACGCCGACGAAGGTGTAGAACTCCGTCAAGCAGGCATAAAACTGCCCATTCTCGTGCTCAACCCCGAAGTGGGCGCCTTCGAAAGCATGCTTCGACACCAGCTCGAACCCGAAATATACAGCCTGTCGCTTTTACACGAACTGGTAGCATACACCGGAAAACACAAAAAACTCTCCATCCACCTCAAGCTCGATACCGGTATGCACCGCCTCGGATTCATATCGGAGCACCTCGATGAATTGTGCGGAATACTAGAAAAACACCCGAATCTTCAAGTAAAAAGCATATTTTCGCACCTTTCTAGCAGCGGAAACCCTCAATTTGATGCCTTTACCCACCAGCAAGCACATACCTTTACGCAACTGGCGCAGCGCATAAGCGATAGGCTCGCAAACCAACCCATGCGACATATCGCCAACACCGGCGGCATCGTCCGCTTCCCCGAATACCACTTCGAAATGGTACGCCTAGGCATCGGGCTGTATGGTGCCGACGGAGGCAGTCTCCAACCGCAATTGCAAGTAGTCAACACCCTCAAAGCCACCATCAGTCAGATAAAAACCGTGCATGCCGGCGAAACCGTAGGCTACAACCGCATGGGACAAATACAAAAAGAGACCAAAATAGCCACCATCAGCATCGGTTACGCCGATGGATTGCTACGAGCAGCCGGCAATGGACGGTACAGCGTGCTGCTCCACCAAACCCTCGCCCCCATCGTAGGAAATGTGTGCATGGATATGACCATGATAGATGTTTCACACATCCCACAAGCCCGCGAAGGCGATGAGGTCATCATATTTGGCACCCACCCCACCGTAGAAGACCTTGCAAAAGCCCTCCAAACTATTCCCTACGAGGTGTTCACCAATATTTCGGAGCGGGTAAAGAAGGTGTATTGGAGCGAATAGGAATAGGAGTGATGGACGAGGAGTGATGAACTATTGCTCAAATTTCACATCTCATATTTCATATCTCATATCTCATATTTAACATGGCAGCCGCCCAAAAACCGCCCATTTTACCCTCCTCTTCGCCTAGGTTTTGTTAGATGGCTTGGGCTGTCGTGCCTCTTCCTATTTCCGTACAAGGCGGTTTTTGGTCGCCGGGCTATCCGCTGCAATAGCCCTTTTTGTGCCTTTTGGGGCTTCGCACTTGGGTGACGTGGGTAGAGCCGTTGCACTTCAACGGCTTAGCCTTGTAGGTAATTTTCAGGAAAAAGGCACAAAAAGTGCTATTTCCGCTACTATCCCTGCTGCAGCGTGAACTGTTTTTATAAATATGTTTGGCAATTTCGTGTCGAAGGGTTAGTTTTGCGTTGTCATGTTACAATATGTTACTTCAAACGCCCGGTTCGTACAGGTGAAATACAAAGACGTGTTGAATTTCACCAAAGGATACCGTGGTTCTTATGAGTTCAATTAATCATAACAACTTAAAAATGAAATTAAACCTCTTCCTTATTATGATAGTTTTTACAACTATCTGTAATGCTCAGATTGTAAACATACCTGATGCCAATTTTAAAGCAAAATTGTTACAAGCAAGTGCTGGTAACACACTTGCTTCTACCCAGACAACTGATTCAACCGGAAATGTGAGTTCGTACAATGCAATAGACACCAATGGCGATGGCCAAATTCAAGTGAGCGAAGCACAAGCTATAAAGTATTTGAATGTAGGTTTTTCTTCTATTTCAAATTTAGATGGTATTCAATCTTTCAGCAGTTTGCAAACGTTGCGTTGTTATTCTAATCAACTCACGAGTTTAGATGTTTCGGGATTGACCAATTTGGGAACGTTGAAGTGTTCGAATAATCAACTCCTGAGTTTAGATGTTTCGGGATTGATCAATTTAAAAAGTTTGCAATGTCCTAATAATCAACTCCTGAGTTTAGATGTTTCGGGATTGACCAACTTGAAAGAGTTGGAGTGTGCTTGGAATAAGCTCCCAAGTTTAGATGTTTCGGGATTGACCAATTTGGAAGAGTTGGGTTGCTCTAGCAATCAACTCCTGAGTTTAGATGCTTCGGGATTGACCAATTTAGAAACGTTGGATTGTTCGAATAATCAACTCCCAAGTTTAGATGTTTCGGGATTGACCAATTTGACAGAGTTGCATTGTTATAGTAATCAACTCCCAAGTTTAGATGTTTCGGGATTGACCAATTTGGAAGAGTTGGGTTGCTCTGACAATCAACTCACGAGTTTAGATGTTTCGGGTACCAATTTGCGTTGGTTGTTGGGTTCTCATAATCAACTCACAAGTTTAAATGTTTCGGGATTGACCAATTTGGGGTTTTTGTCTTGCCCTAATAATCAGCTCCCAAGTTTAAATGTTTCGGGATTGACCAATTTGGAAGCGTTGCGTTGTAATAATAATCAACTCACAAGTTTAGATATAAGCAGCAATACTTCATTATATCAGTTGTATTGTAATGATAATCAATTAACGAGTTTATTTATAAAAAATGGCAGAAATGAAGCCTCTGGACTATACTTTCAAAACAACCCAAACCTTACCTATATCTGTGCAGATGAAGGGCAACTTACAAGCGTACAAGATAGCGTAAACCAATATGGCTATACCAATTGTAATGTAAATACTTATTGCAGTTTTACTCCCGGTGGTACTTTCTACACTATTCAAGGAAATCAAAAATTTGACAGCAATAATAATGGCTGTGATGGCAGCGATTTAGTATTTCCAAATTTTATTTGTTCAATTACTGATGGTGCAAGCACAGGTGCTTTTATAGCCAATAATTCCGGTTCATATAATATCCCTGTGCAAGCAGGTACGCATACGGTAACGCCTATTATTGAAAACCCTGCTTATTTTAATGTGTCACCAACTACTTTAAATATTAGTTTCCCAACAGCAACAAGTCCATATATTCAAGATTATTGCATTACTGCAAATGGTACGCATCATGATGTAGAAGTATTGCTTATCCCCATTGATGCAGCGAGACCGGGCTTTGACGCAAATTATAAATTAGTGTATAAAAACAAAGGTACAAGCACACAGTCAGGTACAGTTGATTTTTCATATAATGATGCCGTTTTAGATTTTGTTTCAAGCAGTCCTACTATTCCAAGTCAATCAACAGGAAATTTAATTTGGAATTTTACAAACTTACTTCCCTTTGAAAGCCGTGAAATCAGTTTTGTTTTAAACTTAAACTCACCAATGGAAACACCGGCTTTAAATAGTGGAGATATTTTAAGTTACACCGCCTCAATCAATGGACAAACAGATGAAACACCAAATGATAATATTGCAACGCTAAATCAAACGGTTGTAAACTCTTATGACCCCAATGATAAAACTTGTTTAGAAGGAGCAAGAATTACACCCGTTATGGTTGGTGAGTATGTACATTACTTAATCCGTTTTGAAAACACAGGGACTTTCCCTGCTGAAAACATTGTTGTTAAAGATATTATTGACATAAGTAAATTTGATATCAATACTTTAATACCTGTTCATGCAAGTCATAACTTTGAAACCCGAATTACAAATACCAATAAAGTAGAGTTTATATTCCAAAACATCAATCTACCTTTTGACGATGCCAACAACGATGGATATATAACATTTAAAATTAAAACCAATCCAAATTTAGTTGTTGGAGATACTTTGAAAAACGAAGCGAATATCTACTTCGATTATAATTTCCCTATACTTACCAACAACTACACAACAACTATCCAAAATCCAATAGTTGGATTACAAGAAAACTATATAACTAATGACTTGGTTGCTTATCCCAATCCAGTAAAAAATATCCTAAACTTCAAAACCGAAAACACGATTATCAAAGTGGATGTATATGACATTACAGGTAGAATTATAAGTTCAAATTCAGTTACAGGTAAAACAATGGATTTAAGTGAGCTAGAAGTGGGTAATTATATACTAAAAATTTATACTGAAAAAGGAATAGCATATACTAAAATAATGAAGGAATAACTATCTTTTTCATCATTGCGCTAGCGCGAGATTAAAATCTCGTGCAACTATTGCGTCGGCTGTGCCGACAAACGGCAAAGAAATTGACTAAAAAAATGGAATAAACTGTATTTAAAGAAGCCTATAAACATCAAAAAAAGGAAATTATTCACTACTTTAGGTTAGTTTTCTTGCAAAAAGGTCGTTTCCACGTTTGTCTGCACAGCCGACACAATGATGATACGAGATTGAAATCTCGCACCTGCTTTAGTGGTTTTCGCAGGTCAGAGACCTTCTGACACCCCGTTTCAGGTCAGGAGACCTGAAACGAGCATGCTCCCAAATTTCATGGAGTACATGAGTGATGATTACATGAGTACATGAATGTTGAAGTGGAAGCAGGTACGGAAACGCTTTGGGACCGCCGGCAGCCTGCGTGAGGGATAGTAGCGGAAATCGCTATAAAAAATCGCCTCACGACAAGGCCAAGCTACCCACAAAACCCTAAAGGCGATTTTTTATAGCGATTGCAGCGGATAGCCCGACTCCGAAAACAGCCTTGCGAAAAAACCTTTAGTCAGGCGAAAAACCCGAGAGGCTGTTTTTCGGAGGCACGCCCAAAACGCTACCTTCCTAAATACGACTTCGCAAAAAAATGATTGACGAAACTTTTTGTAATTTGCGTAATTGTTACCGTTATTTAGAGTATCTTTGCGGCCGAAAAGGAATATATGAAGAATATTAGAAATTTTTGCGTAATAGCGCACATAGATCACGGTAAGAGCACGCTTTCGGATAGGTTGTTGGAACATACCAGCACCATCAGTAAGCGCGACATGCAGGCGCAAGCGCTTGATAATATGGATATTGAGCGCGAGCGAGGTATCACCATCAAGAGCCATGCTATCCAGATGAAATTTCCGCATCGCAGTGGGGAGGTATTTACCATGAATCTCATAGATACGCCCGGGCACGTGGATTTTTCGTATGAAGTGAGCCGTTCGATAGCCGCTTGTGAAGGCGCGCTCCTGCTCGTGGATGCTACACAAGGCATTCAGGCTCAGACGATTAGCAATCTTTACTTGGCGGTCGACCACGATTTGGAGATTATCCCTATCATCAATAAGGTGGATATGGATAGCGCCGATGTGGATGCTGTGGCTGACCAAATCATAGAGCTTTTGGGCTGTAAAAGAGAGGATATTATCCTTGCCAGTGGAAAAACAGGCATCGGTATCGATGAAATATTTGAGGCAGTGGTGACCCGCATACCTCCACCGAAGGGCGACCCTGATGCGCCTCTGCAAGCTATGATTTTTGACTCGATGTTCAACTCCTATCGTGGTGTTATTGCCTATTTGCGCATCATGAATGGGACTTTGCGCAAGGGCGATACGGTACTTTTTATGAATACAGAGAAATTTGTGGGCGTAGAAGAGGTGGGTATCTTGCGTATGGCCAATGTGGAAACAGAGTCGCTCGCCGCCGGTAATGTGGGTTATGTGATTACGGGCATTAAGGTGAGCAAGGAGATAAAAGTGGGCGATACGCTCACGCATCTTTCGCGCCCTTGTTCGGAGGGTGTGCGTGGATTTGAGGACGTGAAACCGATGGTTTTTGCGGGTATTTATCCTTTGGATAACGATGATTTTGCTGATTTGCGCGATAGTTTGGAAAAATTACAGCTCAATGATGCGTCTTTGATTTTCGAGCCTGAAACTTCGGTGGCACTTGGCTTTGGTTTCCGTTGTGGCTTCTTGGGTATGTTGCATTTGGAGATTGTGCAGGAACGTTTGACGCGCGAATTTGACCAAGATGTGATTACGACAGTACCCAACGTACCTTATTTTGCTACCGATACGAAAGGTGTGCGCTTTCAGGTGCACCAACCGAATGAATTGCCTGAATCGAATCACTTGGAAAAAGTGGAAGAGCCTTATATATATGCGCAGGTAATCACCAAGCCGGATTATATAGGCACTATTCTCAATCTTTGTTTGGATCGACGTGGTAATTTGCAGAAGCAAAATTACTTGTCTCCAAACCGGGTAGAGCTTACTTTTCACATGCCATTGGCGGAGATCGTTTTCGATTTCTATGACCGCTTGAAGTCAATATCACGTGGTTATGCTTCGTTTGACTACCATTTGTTGGATTATCGCCCTACCGATTTGGTGCGCCTCGATATCAAGCTCAATGGCGAACCGGTAGATGCGCTGAGCGCTTTGGTACACCGCAGCAAAGCGGAATATGTGGGCCGCAGGATGTGCGAAAAATTGAAAGGACTGTTGCCCAAGCAGCAGTTTGTGATAGCGATACAAGCCGCCATTGGTGGCAAAATCATTGCACGCGAGACGATCAGCGCTATGCGTAAGGATGTAACCGCCAAGTGTTATGGTGGTGATATTTCGCGTAAGCGCAAGCTACTCGAAAAGCAGAAGGAAGGTAAGAAGAAAATGAAGCAATTTGGCAATGTAGAGGTGCCTCAGGAGGCGTTTTTGAAGGTTTTGAAGTTGAATGAGGATTAGATTTTTTTCGCTTCGCTCAAAAGGAGGAGGGGAAAACGGATGACACGGATTAGGCGGATTTTAACGGATTTTTTTCCTCCTTTGGAGGCACTCTTGGGCGGGGTGGTTCCTTTGAACTTTACTTATTTCCCCCTCCCTACTTCTGCATTTCACTAATCAGCTTTTGAGTCCAATTTCTAAACCTTTCGCAGCGAGATAGTATTTTGTCTATTGAAATTTCAAGTGCAAAAACTGGTCCATGCAGCGTTTTTTGATAGCCGGGAATTTTTTCTAACCTTTTTGATGGAGCCGTTTGTTCGCCGTCGTTTAGGAGTTCAGGATTTGTGTGTTCAGTTACAGCTTGGTTGAGTTGGTTGCGTACATTATCCGGGATACCCGGCAAAGAATCAAAACCAGCGGTTGATGAAAAAAGGAGTCCTTCGAATTCGTGAAGTTGGATGTAGGGAATGAATCTTGGATTTGTAATGTCTCTTTTTATAGCTTCTTCGAGAAACTCTACTCGTTCAATTTTATCGATCGGGATAAGTTCTTGCGCTCTTGAGAATTCTGGGAAATCAGATTTCAATTTATAAAAATCGATTAAGGAAGTTACAATTATATCTTGTTCTTGCTTTAATAGCCGTTCAACATAATTTTTATATCTACTATATGTAACAGCACCGCCTTTGTGTCCTGGACTTGTTTGCATCAAAATACACCTGACATCATATATGTCAAATGCAGTTAAGTACGGTCTTAATACTTCATTGATAAATTCCTCTTCGGTTTGTCCTTCGCCAAGAATATACAATCTTCTCATTATGGTCTCCCTCCTAATAGATTTTTCTCCCATAATGTGCCTAAAGTGTAATCCTCAAGCCAAGATTTCAAATCTTCCTCATTTTGCCGTGTGAAAGTGGTTTGCTCATTTTTGCGCTCCACTACTATAATATCATTTGCAGAGAACTGATCCACCAAAGTAACGGATTGGGTAGAAATAATAATTTGGGCTTTGAGCGATGCGCTTTTAATGAGTGCTGCTAGTTTTTGTATAGCAAATGGATGCAGTCCTAATTCCGGCTCATCAATAATTATGGTTTTGGGTAAATTGGGTTGCAATAATAAAGTTGCCAAGGCGATAAACCTTAAGGTACCGTCAGAGAGGTTATGTGCATTAAAATAGTCGTCTGAACCTTTTTCCAGCCAGTTCAGAAAAATCATTTCAGGATTTCGAGCATCTGGTTTAATGTCGAACCGATCAAAAAAAGGCGCTACAGAACGAACAACATGTTCAATCAGTCTAAATTGCTGAGGATTTGTGTCTTTGATTTTATAAAGAATAGCAGCTAAATTGCTACCGTCTTCTCTCAAAATTTCGTAATCTTGCGTTTTGTTGGCTTGCTTTAAAGGCGACGCAGGACTGGTATCGTGAAAATGAAAGACGTTAAAATCTTCAAAATAATCCCGCAAATAGGAAGCTTTTGTTGATTGGTTATTTCTTAATCCGCTTTCTTCAATGCCTTCGCCTCCTAGATTAACATAATCCCAATTTGGTTCTTGCCATTGCCTATTAGTAATATCGTTATATCCGCCCTCATCCTTTTCAAAATAAAAACCAGCACCTTGCAGTTGTGGCGCAAGTCTAAAATCATATCGATTATTAGGGATAAATCCCTTTTGATTGAAAACGATACTTCCTTCTATGCATTTTGAACGCTTTTTGCCAAAATATAAAATACGGTCAGCATAGCCATTATCTGCTGTGTAAGATTTCAAACGCTGTTTATAAATACTATTTAAAAGTTTGAAAAATTGAATAAAATTGCTCTTGCCAACACCATTAGGTCCAATCAATACATTAATTGCATTGATTGGAATTTCGCCAGAATCTCGAATGGATTTGAAATTTCTAATGTATATACTATTGATTGGCATAAGACAATTCTAGTCTTGAAGCTTGCTGTTTAAGAACTTCATACACAAAGATACAACTTTCTGAATAATTCGGATAAATATTATTTAAAATACAGCGACTCCAATGTCATTTCCGTATCCACCCAGCCGGATTCAACCGTTCTTTATTGTGCCATAGCTCAAAATGCAACTCCGATGTGCCCGACAATGGATTGGAGCTGACGCGTCCTACTTGGTCACCGCTCTTGAGCTGGCTTCCTTTCTGCACATAAGCTTCCATTATGTTGGAGTACACGGTGTAATAGCTGCCTCCATGCTGCACAATGATGGTATAATCGTGTCCGGGCACAAAAGTGACACCCACCACTTCGCCTTCGGCTACTACTTTCACATTGCTATCATCGTCGGTGCGTATATCAATACCATTATTGGGTACCATGATATTGGGGAAAGTGGGATGCGGATTGTTGCCAAAACTCCTTGAAATAAAGCCTGATTCTACTGGCCAAGGCAATTTGCCTTTGTTTTTACGAAAACCAACAGCGGCTACATCTTCGGGTTCGTCCTCTACAGTTTCTCTTTTTTCTGCTTTTTGCCTACTGTTGCCCGTGCTAGTTTCGGTATTGTTTTTAGATTCTTCTTGCCTGCGTTTTTGCTCCTGTCGCTTGCGCTCGGCTGCCAAACGGGCATTTTCTTCGGCCTTTTTGCGTATTTCTGCCTTGATAATCTCCTCAATAGCTGAATCGAGCGCTACCTGGGCTTGGCGTTTTTCCTCCAATTCTTCCTTGAGTTTTTTCTCATCTTTTTGGAGCTCTTTCAGCATTTTATCTTTGGAGTCGCGCTCTACGAGCAAAGTGCCTGTTTGGTGTTGCACATCTTCGGCTAGCGTCTGCTTTTCTACTCTTGATTCCTCCAATTGCACTATTTTCTTGGCGAGTATCTGTCGGGTGTAGGCTATGGCTTCGGCTTGCTTTTTGCGGAACTTGTCGTATTGTCGCAAAAAAAGCCAACGCCTGAATGCTTCATTGAGCGACGTAGCAGAAAGTAGAAATACCAGTGGATTTTTCATGGTTTTGAAGCGATAAGCCGACCTCAGCAGTCTGCCGTACTCCTCTTTTCGGTCGGCAATATCTTGCGAAAGGGATGAAATAACCTGGTTGGTGCGCACAATATTCTCCTCGGTACTTTCTATCTCGCTACTCAGCGTAGAAAGCAGATCTTCGCGCTTTTTTATTTGACTCTGTAGCGCTACAAATTTATCGAAAGCTGCTGCCTTGTTTTGCTTGGTTTTTTTGAGCAATCTATCGGTCTCCTTGATCTCTTTGATGATACTTTTTCGCTTCGATTCTAGCTCCTTTTTGGACTGAACGGACTGTGCCGCTACACTCGCAACAACGCCAAAGCTGAGCACAAAAAGCAACAAAAGGCTTAGTACTGAAGCACATTTCCTAGTAAATACGCTTGTAACTACTAGGAATTTCAAATTTGTAGGGATAATTACCATTCACTTCAATGTCGGAGAAATCAATTTTTGCTGAGAGATTGCCGGTTGCTTCGCTAGATATGGCTATATTGCGCTGCAAAAGCAGAACTCCCAGATTGGATATATTTGATGGCGATGCAAAGTCAAATTGTACGCTTTTTGCCTCTTTTTGTTCCATAAAAAGCATCTGCTTCAACAAATAACTGCCATCCTCCACCAAATATTTAAGTGCAAATTTACCGTTTGTTCCGTTTATTTGGTGTTTCCCTTCGTTCAATAATGTCTGATAGGTGGCATCTTTGAAATAAAAACCCTTTCCGAGTATCCAACCTTCTAGTAAACCGAACTCCGCAGGAATATTATATTGATAACTTATCCACTCCAAGCTCTTAATGGTGGCCGTTTTTTCGAGCCTATTCAGAAGATATACGCTGTCTTTGGTGATGAGTCCGCGCGCTGCCTCGAAGCCAAATTTCTTGACATTAAACCATATCAGGCTGTCTTTTACCCATATCAGGTTGCCGCTTGCGGATATTTCATCGGTATCAATACTTAGGCGGGAGGAGAATGTTGTAGGCGTTTTCGGCTCCTTTTCCTTTATTTTTTTGAGTAAAAAATCGGCACTGCGCACTTCTGTTGCACTGCCTCCTCTTTCAATTTGGTCTTTATTCTTGCGCTTGCAACCTTCTTGGTGGGCTCCTAGCGACCAAATAGCCATAAAAACTATAAAATATAGACGCATAATTTTAATTTACTTACTGACCTTTCGCAGGTGAAAAATTTGGATATTTGAAAA